AGGCATGGGGAATAACTGATTTGTGGTGATGGGCATGCTGATAGTATTGATCTGATCATCACATCTTGGGCACAGGGGCTGATGGTCAGCTCTGTGCTCCAGGAATATGTATAATCTGATCATCACATCTTGGGCACAGGTGCTCATGGTCAGCTCTGTGCTCCAGGAATATGTATAATCAACTGGAAAAAAAAAAAAAAGAAGAAGAAGATAATTTGATTTAAAAAATCAGGAGCATGGTTATGAGTTGAGTGCATCCTCCAAAGCTTTGTGTATTAGAAACTTAATCCCCACTGTGACACTGTTATAAGGGTGGGAAATCCTATCATGGTCACTGAAAGGTGGGGCCTTAAAGAAGTGATTAGATTGTGAGGACTGGGCTATGTCCTCATGAAGGGATTGATCTTCATCGGGTAAGGGGTGTGGTTCTGACGGCTTTAAAAGGAGATCAGCTGAGCAGCTTAGCGCTCTCGTTCAGGCCATTTGCCATGTGATACCCTGCATTGTTGCAGAGTCACTGCCAACAATAACCAGATGTGTTCTCTGGATGTTGGACTTCCCAGCCTCTGAAGGTATAAGCAATAAATTTCATTTCCTTAAAAATTACCCAGTTTTAGGTATTTTGTTTAAGCAAGAGACAAAATAATACAAGCATACTCAAAACAACAATAAAACATTACCTGAAAAGAAACCAAAAAGGGAACTGCTGTGGATTGAATTGTGTCCCCCAAAGTTCAAATATTAGAAGCTTAATTCCCACTGTAACTGTTAAAATCCTATTATGATAACTGAAAGGTGGGGCCTTCTACAGGTGATTAAGCTGATGGTTTAATGGTGGTCATGGGTGTGGTTCTGAGGGCTTTAAAAGGAGAGGGCATGAGGAATTCTCTCTCTGCTCCACCATCTTCTGCCATGTGAGACCCCCGTGTCACTGTCACCACCACCAAGACCCTCCCCAAATGTGTTCCCTGCTCTGTGGACTTCCTGGCCTCCGAAACTGTAAGCAATACATTTTGTTTTCTTTATAAATCACCCAATTTCAGGTATTTTGTTATAAGCAACAGAAACAGGCTAATACAGGAACCTAATAGTAAACATGAGGAAATCCCTGCTCTCAAATAGTTTGCATTTAAGCAGATACAGACAGTAACTAAATAATTTCAGATGATAGATTCTATGAAGAAATGAAACAGGGTAACACAGTGGTCACATAAGGTGGTCAGTGAATGGCATCTCTGAAGGAGTGACACCTGAACAAAAACATGATCAAGTGCTCTAGGTAGAAGGAACAACAATTTTAAAGGAATAAGGTTGGCACGCTCAAGAATTCCAAAAAAGGCCAGGATAGTTGAAGATGCATGAGCTGGGGAGAGAATGGCAGAAGAGATGGGGATGAAGCAGGCAGGGCCAGGATGGTCTGGAGCAGCACTGTCCAATTTGGCAATCACTAGCCACATGTGGCTACTCAGCACTTGAAACATGACTAGCCCAAACTGAAAGGTACTTTAAGTGGAAAATACACACCATATTATAAAGACAGTCTGAAAAAAGTAAAATATCCCACTAATAGTTTCTTACATTGATTACATGTTGAAATCATAGCATTTTGGGTAAAATAAAATATACTTCACTTTTTTCTGTAATGTGGCTATCAGAAAATTTAAAATTACTAAATGTGTTTCCCAATTGTGGCTCACATTATATTTCTATTGGACATTGCTGGTCTGGGGGATATAAGCCATATTAAAAGATTGAATTTTATTTTGTGTATTAAAAAGCCTCTGAAGGTTTTGTGTCTTGGAGTAAGGTAATCTAATTTACAAATTTAAATGATTGTCCTTCACAGGAGGGGAGCAAAAGTTAAAGCAAGGATGCCAGTTAGATGACTACTATTACCACCTTATATAAAAAAAAGATGGTGACATGGATCATATTTGGGATAGATCATATTTGGGGATAACTTATGAAGGTAGAGCCAGCCTAATACTGTTTAGAATTAACTTTTAATAGTTTAGGATATAAAGATTATACAAAGACCAGGGGTATAACTCAGAAATATTAAAAATGGTTACCTACAGTGGTGTTAGGTAGCTTTCCTAGGTTAACTTTCTACTGTCAAAGTTGCAAGGAAAACACACACACACACACACACTCACTCACTCTCTCTCTCTCTCTCTCTCTCTGCCCCTGTAATCAAAAACAAAAATGAGGTCTTTTTAAAGCAGGATAATACAAGGGTACTTCAAAAAGTTCATGGAAAAACAATTAAAAGATAACACAAACTTTTTGAACTTTCCATGAACTTTTTGAAGATCCCTCCTACAGCCCTACCAAAACAAAGCATCCCGATGTTTGTCTGCAACCTACATTATATATATATATATATATATATATACATATATATATATATATATATAAACCATCTCTACTCCTACACCTTTGAACAAAAACAGGTCAAAGCTGTACATAAACTCATATTACTTACACACATACACACCCCATCTTCAGGAAATGAAGGAAATATTGCTCCCTAATTTGTCACTGCATTGCTGTTAGCATAATAAAACACCACTCTGGAAGCACAGTCTGGAGCATTCTCAAATCTAAAAAATACTTAAACTTGTGGTTAACACATACCGAAATACACACTACTCATCTTTCTCTAAAAGTGTTTCAGTACAGAATTTCTACAGAATAACACCTTGGTCCTAACGCTTTCCCTTATAAGCATGGCCACATGACAGGTGGTTCCTTTAATTAAAAGCCTGTGAAAAACTGGAAGAATAAACTTAGGACAGGTTTCTTTTACATGAGTATGCTAAGGCACTTGAGTTTTCTAGGTAATTTGCCGAAGATGGGAGGGGGGCAACTCAAACACTCAAACATACAATTGAGTGTTTTTTCTACTATATTTACTTTTTTTTCTTTTTTTGAGCACTGAAAAAGGAGATACCAAATAGTGCCAGATTTTTTACAATGTATTTTCAAAGAAATTTATTATATACAAATTAACAGAAATCCTGGTTTCTCATGCAAATGTTAAACAACTAAGAATCAATCACTATGGCTATGAATCTTGCATTTAAACCTAATAGAGAATCACAATGTTTTTCATTCACTTTATTTATAAGTATTTCAATCTATTTTATTCATTACCTAAAACGTTCTAATAAAATGCACATTAAGTATTTACTCTAGCATAATCAAAAATAAATAAATATTTACTCTAAAGAAACTCTTGCACCAACAGCAGAGCACAAGAAATGTTCATAGAGCACAACCGCTAATAGCAAAACAAAATCAGAAACAAAACAAAAACACAATCTAAATGCCCACGAGTTATGGCAGATTAACACAAGATTAAAGAGCGATGAAATGAATGAACTATAAGTATAAGCACATAATACTTTTACAAAACCCAAAAGAAAAGCAAACTAAACACCACATTGTTGGGACATACAAATATATGTGATAAAAGTATTTCTTAAAAAGGCAAGGGAATGATAAACACAAAATCCACCGGACCAGAATGATTACCTCAGTGAGGAGAGGCAGGGGTACTGGACAAATAGGAAATTTCATTAGGAGACGCAGATTTTGGTAATGTTCCAGCTCTGGGCTTGGTAGAGGAGTCTCGGATTTTCATTTTAAGTCTTTTATACTATACTGTGTAACGTGTTCAGTTGGTTACTTTTCTAAAAACTTAGAAAACTGACGTACAATAAACTGCATATATTTGAAGTGTGAAAAGTGGTTAAGTTGTGATAACTGCCTCCCTTAAATATATTTTAAAACGTAAAATATTTAAAAGACAACCTGTTTCGGAAACTTAAATGTGCACATTTTGCAAAAAAATATTTTCCCTGAAGCCCTAGAGACTGTACCTAACTCGCGAGTGCCCTAAAATTGTTGACCTGATCACTACATAACTCACATAAACGTTTATGGTATTTTACATTAAAAAAAAAAAATCAAATTCCAAAAATTTGGTTTGAAAGAGGAATTTAATCCTGTTTCTCACAGCATCAAAACCATTAAGACCGCCCAGTTTTTATCGCCAACTTGAACCCGAGCTTTAACTTCCTCACGTGAGTAACCACCTTCAAGTTGTGAAGGCAAATCATAGCGTTTTAACTGTACGGTTAGGACAGTACTTCAAAATAAAATTAAAATGATTTCAAAACAAAAGCGTACTTGTTTACGTAACTACAGACAAAAACTAGACAATGCTATTTCAAAAGAGTAGAAAGAAAATTCAGAATCCTGAGCAAACATATACAAGCAGGTAAAAGAGGCGAACGCCCGTCCCCCTCGCAGGTCCGAGGGAGTCTGACGTGCTAGACTCGCTCCCCACGCAGCCCACTCTGGTCTCTGAAAACACTGCAGGTGGAAAAACATTCTAAATAGGACCTTGGACTCGCAGGCGCGGGACGGGGACGCGCCGAAGGGTGGCCGCGGCCCCTCCGACCCCCACCCTCCAACTGCTCGGAACGGGGTCAGGTCGGGGCGAGCGTCGCGGCCCCCACGGCCTGCAGGGAGTGGGGGTCCCGAGCCCGGCGCGACTCCTCCCCCCGGATGGGAAGCCGGCCTGGGCCCACGAGCGCCGCCGCGCCCCGGCCCCTGCCCCCAGCGCCGGGAGTTC